AGGCGACGTCGAGGTCATTAGACCGATACACTACAAGGAGCTCGTTGCCGTGTCCCCCTGCTCCGCGAGGTTGCAGTGTAGGTGGAAGCCAGCTGCTATGGTAAGGACCGCATCGTGCCGTGGGTGGGGAAACAACGGCACTGGACCGAAGGACCCACATAATGATCTTCCAGCTGTACTTCGAAAACGAACCTTGGCGCCTGGTCCCAGTGAAGACGGATAGATGTTACGTCCCCAAAACAGAAAAAAATATATATCCAAAACAAAAAAATACACATACACTCACAGGATGGTCTGTCGTCTTTCTCCCTGTCGACGACACATCGAGGGGGAGGGTTGAAAGTTGAATTGAATGTTTATGTAGAGCACCGGACGAATGTGCGTAAAACAGTATGCACACGTACGTGTTGCGATGAGTAGACCTCGTAAGTCCTGTCATTGGTCTGGGACACAGGTTAAGGACGGCAACGGGAGTGGTGAGCCTCGGAAGCGATAAAGTGCAAGCGGCGCCGGTGTCCAAATTCAACAAATGTAGGCGCTCTGATGTGTACTGTTGTCCGGTGTTCACAATTAACAATTAGGGGTTAGGTTTCTCTCTGACGTACTGTAGTCGAGGAGAGCTTCGAAATTCACATCTTCAATCCTTTGCCGTCTGATTGTTGTTGTTGTTGTTGTTGTTGTTGTTGTTGTTTCTCACATTAGCTCAAAAAAAGAAAGATTGGGAGCCCGTGGTCTCAAAACCCGGCATACACGACCCCACGAAGAAACAGAAAAAAATAGGGTACAAAAACCACTCGGAAGAGAAACAAAATGATAGAAAGACCAGCTACCGCACCAAACGAGAAAGAGCGTCGAGGAGACCGATCAAAATAAAATAAAAGGAGAACGGGGAACGCTTCCCACACCCGCCTACAACGCCGTAGGGTTCCGTGCCGGGTTCCCGCCGACCAGGCATTGTGTGCAGTACCGAATCCAACGTTTCTAGTTTGTCGACAAGCGTAGCAATCCTCGCCTGCAGAAAGCAAATGTTACATGTACTCACTATTTACACGTCGCACATGTCCTACTCGCGCTTCGATGAATCGACCGGGCGTGCCTTCTCATCAATGCAGCCGCGACTTGCCCCGCCTAGCCCCACAGCATAATTTTTCAACGTGAACCCGATCTAAGACAAGCACGCCACAATACTTTGTGCACGAATCTGATCCGCCCCTGCAGGCCATCCTCCAACCAGAGAATCAAGCGCTGACACGACTTTGATGTTTGGCTAGTCTAACTCGCTTCACCTCTCGCTCACCGTCGTTGTTCATGATGACGTACGCCGAGAACCCTGGATTGGTTTTGAGCTCCTTGATAACCTCCTCCACCTCATTAACCTGCTGAGACTGCGGAACAATGCCACATGGGGGCGTGCAATGGGCGATTGGGACGCCGCTGCTGCTGTATCGCGAATTTGGCAGATAGTCTGCATGATGAGTCCGGAATATATGTAGGAGCTTTAGTTTGTGGCGCATTGACAAGAGAATGGCACGATCGCTACTCGACGCGGCAAGGTGATTGTTGGAGCAGCTCAACCAGACTGAGCAATTCCCACCCTGCCAAACATGGTCATCATATTTTTGACGGGGATGTAAAAGAGCCAAACCAGACCAGCATATCCCCTACCTGGTGTAGAAAATGACGTAATGAAAAACATTTGCAGCTCACGAAGCTACCTACGATACAGAAAATTTTGAATATCAACACATATCCACAGTACATTATGGAGCTCCGCAGATACTTCGTAGCTCAGCAGATTTGTAGGTGTGTGCGAAGGAAAACACGCAGGTGCTCCTGTTGATCGAATACTGGCTCAGGACAAGACACAATTGTCGCTCTGTCTCCTTTCTTGCTCATTCTGTACGCACGCAGGAATGTCCAACACACAGATATACACCCTAGGCCAAGTGGTAAGTCACAAGACTATATGTTGACACCCACCGCCATGGGGTAGCCTGTGCCTGTCGGCCGGCGACACCGGGGTACTGCCGCCCCGTTGTCTGTCGACGAAAACCGTCCACCTTGCCCCTTCCGTGCCCCGAAAGATGGGTACTTAGCACCTATGGGTGCCGTCAATGAGGTTCCCTATCTGTTCCAACAGGTTCCAGAATGGTTTCGCTTCAAACACGGGCCAAGCGCGGCTAAGAGTGCCCCGGTCGCCTATGCGCCATCCACTTTTGGCCGTTACAATTTGGAGTTCCACACACCGCGGCGTTCTGGTGGACTGCTCGGTGCTCCGTGCCCACAGCAGCAGCAGCCAGACTATCCATCTCAGAAGGGGGAGCATCAGCCATGGACCCTGCGAAGTGCTTGGAGATCCTTGGGAACCGTGGGACGTGCAGCGGCTCTCACGATGCTCACCACCACGGGCATTCAGCAGGTGTGCTAGGCCACTTTTTTTTTTGCGGGGCAGGACTGTCAGCTTTCGTTTCCGCCGCAGGCTTCCGCAGATCCCAGAAGGAGCACACACGCGTCTGATACGATAGCTCTGGTAGAAGGTAAACAAGCGACGGCCAAAGCCAAAATATGGGATGGCCAGCTCATTATCTTGTCACCCGGAAAGATGACTGCGTGCCGTTCGCGGTGTGGAATTGACATTCGAACTTTGCCGTCTGATCTCGCCAGAGGACATGCCTTGCACAGCAAAAGTGCAGCTGCTGCAAGAAGTTCTAGAACATTCCGCAGCTTGGCCCCTGGCTGGCGGTGCTCTTCGCTTCCGCAGCATATGCTCTTGCGGGTGGGCACTTGAGTTGTTTCCAAGCCGCGAAACGAGGAAGGCATTGAACACGCAAGCGTTCCAACAACACCAGTCGATGTAGACTGACATGGCACAAGATACCGCACCCCCTGGATCGATCTTGAAGCTCGACAACTCCACGACGAAGAGGATGCATAAATGAAAACGATACGTTTTCGGAAACATCTTGAGATGAGACAGCTTCAACACCGCCACTTTCGGCGCGCTGCCACTCTTTTCTGCAAGGGAGAAATCGAGCTTTTACAAACGGTCCATGGGGTGTATCATGACACCTTCGGTAGTCTAGTCAACACAGACTTCTCTCGCAATGGTCGAGGATGAAGTGCGTGGTCAGGACACGTTCTCATTGATACGTCGTGGAGCAATCGAGCTTTGAAATTCGATCCAGGGGGGGTGGCATCTTATGCGACCTGCGCTACGCTTCTGCTCATGCTTTCGTCGATATTTTTTTTCACACGGCAGTACGAACGCTACCGCGATGGCTTGAGCTTTCAAGCAAGCATGAAATTTAAGGAACGGATGCACGCAGAGCATAAATGTAAAAAGTATAAACAGAAACATGGTGAATTCACACTTGCCCCCCGCTGCAAAAAAATCTGAACCATTCCTGGACCACTGTTTCGGTAGGTCCAACACCGCCATCCCAAGCGGGGGCCACGGCGGCCGCGGGCACAGGGGGTGAGAATGCTGGCGGCCGCGGACAGGTCATAAACCTTGCCACAGGGTCCAACGAGACGCGCGCTGCTGCCGAGGCGGCATCGGGGCTGATGGCGGCGATGGCTACCGGCTCCCCTTCCACCGCTGCTGGTGCCGGTTGTTGTCCATCGAAGACGGCCGCGGAGGCTTGCGGAGATGCTGGTGAGTGGCACAGAACAAGGCCTCGTGACATGGATGGAGTGTGTACGACGCAATATGTGACGATACGTGCGACCTGGTTTTTGAGGCGATACTGTAGATCGTTGGTGAAGGTGGGGGTGGGAGAGGAAGGTGCAGAAGGGCGACGGCGGTGGAGGCATGATAAGAGTTGTCGGCAACGGCAGGGTGTTTGGGTTCGACAGACCTATTCGCCGTGTGTGGCAGTTTCGTCTCACGTACTATTGTCGTACTCTTCGCCGTTCTTGTGGGGGTCCGCATGCAAGCTTCTTGTGCTTCTACTGCCCCCGATGCTGTTGACGACGCTGACACGGCGCGCGGCTTCTTTCGTTGCCTGTTGTTGGTCTCATCCCTCCCCTTGCTCTGCTGCTGCTTTGTCTACTGCACCGCTGGTGTTGGTGCTGCCGACGCGCGCGGGTTTGTTTCTTTGCCTCCTGTTGGTCCCAACCCTCCTCTACCGCTGCTGCTACTGCTGCTGCTGCTTCTGTTGCTACTGCTCACGCTACGTTCCGGGCGTGGTGTGCAGCAGAGAAACCCGCAGCGCCACCAACAAGCGCCGCTCCCTACGCCGACAGCGACGGCGGAGCCGGACACTCATGCAACGCGGGAGACGACGCAGGGTCGGGTGCAAAAAGAGGCGGCGGCGGCGGCGGTGAAGCCGGCACCAGAGATCCGGGGCGTAACCTACCCACCGCTGCTGCCGGGCAGGAGGAGGAAGGGGGCGGGCTACAGGGCCTCCACAGCATGTCTGCGGGAGCATTGGTGGCATCATTTAGGCGCGCTCAGGAGGAGCGAGTGGCCCTGTACCGGAAGTTTAACGGGTAAGGATGGGGTGATCGGGGTGGGTGGGGGGGCACACAGCACATACCAACTGTGACCTGTTGGTGCGTCAAAAGCTATTGCTGCTCTCTTTCGAAACGAGCACAGCAGCGCGGGGGGGGGGGGGGGTACTCATAGTCGTGCATGCGGTAGTCGTTAGAC